ATCATGGTTCGAAAGTTATTGCAAATTTTGTGATTTTTCCTTATAAAATATCATAGTTACTCCCAACGCTTGCCCATAGTTGTTGACAAGCTAATTGGACGAAATATTTGTCAGATTGTTGATACTGTTTGTTCTTGAATATAATGTATAAGTATTGGAGTATAATGAAGTCAACTATTTTCATGTGTTTTGTTGTTATGATTAAACGCCGCAATTTAGAGTAAAAAATCACTATCCTTTCTAACAATGTACTACTATTTAAAACTTAATAAACAATTTGTTGCCATTATTATACACAAATTTATATAGAAAAAATAAATCCTATCAACAAAGTTTTTTAGGTATGGATCCGTCAGAGTTTACGTGTGTAGCTTGTAGAGGTTTAGGGATTTATTATCTCCAATGAGTTTTCCTTCTGTGAGGTGCAGAACCCCCCACCACCACTACCCAATTCACCGCTTGCAGTCTCATGGTCGCGACACTGACCAGCTTGAGCTCATAATAAAGGGAATACTCAAATATTTTCCAAGTGAGATACTGTCATTGTCAGTTAAATTAATTATTATTTATGTATTTATATTACTATATTACCAATTGAAATGGGAACGTTTAAACATTTTTGCGAATTTCCCTATAGGGAAATAGCTATTACCGTAGGTGGCTCGGTAAGACCTGGACCCGGGACCGATTTACTTTTTCATTTTGATATCCCCAGAGGCCAAAAACACCATTCGTTCAAATTTATATATATATATATATATATATATATATATATATATACACATACATATATATATATACGTCCGTGACCGCGATAACTTGAGTCATTTTTGTCCAATTTTGATGAAATTTGGTTTAAAGGTGTAAGGTGGGATAAACTTGAATGAGTTCACGAACCAGCGTGATCGGACCATGGGAACGGGGTTTTACGGGGGTTTTATAGGGTAAAAAATTGATTTTCTCATTTTTGACCCTAAAAACACAAAATTTCCCGATATCTCTCTAGACCATTTTAAAGAGCTTAAAAAAACAAAAAAATTAGTATATCAAAGTGTTTTTGTACGGTTATTGGTAACGGAGAAAGTTCAAATATTGTAAAATTAAAATTCCCATGTTATTCTTATGGAGAATATTGTAAAATGTTGTAGTTTGCTTGTTTATGGATATATTTTGATCAAACTTGGCAAATTTATTTATTTTATACTAAACTAATAATATTTTACTAAAATATACACTTTATTAGTTTCCTTGTAGCAGCAAACCAAGGTACTCATTAAACCTAATGTTGTTTAAATAGAATTAATTAAAAATTAATTTAGAGAAGTGGAAATTCGCTTAGTCAAAAAAATTAATTTGCTTAGTGTGAGTTTGCTGCTGCGGAGGTATTTTAAATTGGTAAGTTACTACAATCGATCATTTACTCACAGTAACGCGATATCAGATACAGTGTGGTGAAATCATTCACAGTCTGCTGTCGGCTACTTGATTGATCTCTTGTATAATGAAAACAACACTATTACGTAACATAGCTTTATTGAAACGTCAGCGAAAGTACTCTTGTAGTAAGATAATGCGTCCCCACAGGAGATTAAAGTAGAACGCAATGACAGCGAAACATTTTGAAGTGACATTAATTCTCAAGACAACGAATATATAGAAAGGTAGGACAGGAAATAGAAAGTGAATGTTTTATATTTTTATTTTTCATGCTCGATGTTTAATAACCGGTGTATCTTAGATGAGGACTGTTTTACTATAATTATAATAAAGTTATATGTTACCATGTGTTCTTACTATTTATATTGGTTTATATTGGCCATTGGTTTTCCACAATACTGTATGTTGGATTTACTCATTATAATTAACTTTTATGGTCTAGTTAATTGGAGAAGAAATAACTATGATTTCCAAAGGGTTTAAATTATCAGTGAGTTAAATTATTATTTATGTATTTATATTACTATTACCAATTGAAATGTTGACGTTACCCATGTACCCAAAAGTTGATAAGGGTAGTAGAGTGACGCGAGACGCATTGCGTATCTTTGTTACTAACTATGACAAGCTATTTCATTAGCTATATGAGTAATAGATTTGTACTGCAACTATTGGGGCTTCGCTCTGGCCACGCACCTTTCAAAAAAGGAGATCATGACATGTCATAGCAGATTTCTTTATCCTATACTATATTGATATCATTATACGAGTAAAGTTTGCTCGCTTAATGATTTCAAAAACGGATCCAACGATTTCCTCGAAATTGTTACAAATATCTTAGTTTTAGACTAAAAACAATACCTATCTAAGATAGACTCTATTCTTGAAAAATTCGTTTTTCATTAAAATCTTTAAATGGAATTCAATTATTTTTTTAACATTGGCCTCGGTGTCCCAAGTAGCCATTATCGTTTTACGAAAACGGAAGCAACAGAATTATAACATATAATAACATAATAACAATTAACAATAACATATAATAAGCCATTAACCATCTACGGTAAACTAGTAGAATGTGAGATACAGTACAAAAGGAAAGGACATTCGAGTGGATACCATTGAGCATATAATACACTCAAGAGTATATTACTGAGCAGTAGTATATATATAAGACTATATTACAAAACCTAGAGTCTTTTACCGCAAAACAACATATTCTACACTTAATATTGAACTAACTGTCTCAATTGAAGGAAAGTCATGGACGTTTTGATGTTTTCGACGTTGGGCGTTCCACTCGTAGTTCCACGATCCGAATGTTGTGACAATCCGCGATCGCAGTGACAGGCACGTCGCTAAAATGCTGGTAAACAGATTTTAAATATCATGAGTTGGTTATTGAGCTTTATTGTAGACAGTTCAATATAGATTGCTCGGCCGTATGAAACGTTTTTAAGATAAATTAAGAAAGAAATATCAAGAGGGTCTACCACAGAAGAGATATAGTATTTACAACAATATTTTTACTTTTTAAAACTGAAAATTAAGATGAATAATATAGGTAAAACTAATAAATGCATTTTTTTTTAAATAGGTCAACGACCTACAAATTAGTTATGTATGTTTTTAAATGTTTGTTTTTATTCAGACTTATTCTAAACGTGGTTCGGTATCAAAACTAATCCCTCGATACTATTTTAAATCATAAAAATTAAATACCAAGCTTTGGTGTTTTTTTACTAAAAAAAGCATTATTTGTGACACATCTAAAGTTTACATCCAACCGCCACTAACGGTTGAGACAGCATCTAAAGGTTTGCCAAATATAATAAAGAGTAAGGACAATATGATGTTCTAAAAACAAAATACCCATGGGCACATGTTTTTAAAGTAATAAATACCCATCGGTTAAAAAAAATAAAGGTAATGAAAAGATTAAGGTTATTATTATCTTTGGTACCATAAAGGTCTATAGATAACGCTTATCCAAACTACTGTTTGAATATGGTTCAATTTAAAAGAATTCACCATTCAAGAAAATGTATATGTAGTATTTGGTGGGAATATTGTGTGTGTTATTCATAAAATATTAAGGAAACGGGACACTACTAAGGAAAGAGAGCTTGTCCCTCAATACATACAAAAACCATTGTAATTCTGACAACACATGCTAGTAAAGTAACTGAATTTTTATTCGGTTGGATGGAAGTTACTGAAATCTCGATACGCGTCCTAGTTTAACGAGTCGGACCGAATTTCATTTGAAAATAGAAAAAAAACCTATGAAGACAAATATAAAATACCCCCCACCACAGCAAACCTGCTGACTAAGTGAATTTCCATTTGCCCGATTGGATTTTAAATTAAATCTATTTAAATAATATTATGTTTAACAAGTAAGTACCTAGGTTTGCTGCTACAGGGAGGGTAATAAGGTAGGTGTTTAGTAGAATATCAATAGCTTAGTATAAAAAAAGTCAATTTGCCAGATTTTATCAAAATATATCCGTAAACAAGCAAACTACGACATTTTACTTATTCTCCATAACAATAGCGAGGTGATTTAAATTTACGATTTTATTAATTTTTCCGTGACCAATAACTGTATAAAACCTTCAATATACTAAATTATTTGTCAGTAGGTATAATATAGCAAATATACCCCACTTTCGGCACGTTTTCCCCATAAGAATAACATGGTGAGCTTTTTTTTAGCCACTTAAAAAAATCCTGCTCTCGGCCTATACAAGCCCATAAAAATGTTCAATACTATTGTACAACTCCATTAACATTTCAAATCCACATCCATTCGCACGTATATTTTCTAAATCATCAACTTGACAGTGCGAGGTTTGCACGTGATTTCGTGCGCGCTCCCGACCCATAGGCACACTTTTGATCCCCAGCGATGACAAATTAAATGTCTTATGAAAAATGTTTGAAACAAAAATTGAGGAACATCTAATTATCTCTACTTCTTCCGCTGAAAGTTTTTCTCTGACCGAAAAATAAAAAAAGTCCTCGCTTACTTACTTTTTCATATTACTCAGAGTAGCCTTTTTATATTTTCCTTGATTAATAATCACACACTGGCACAAATTAAATTATTTTTATATTGTATTAAACAGTAGTTCATATAGAATTTAAATGTAACTTTTATGCTGTAAATAATTTTATTAGAAGCTAGACAAATGTGTACGTGATAGGAGGCGCATCACTTTGAACATTGTAGGAAATAAACTTGGACGCTATTAAAATCGTGTTTTCCCTACTATTACTATAAACTACAAGAAATAAATATTTTACTGATACAATACTGCAATTCTTTTAATAATCTGAATAAAAACTGTTTACAAAATTCTCACAATGTACCAAAGCAACTGATCCAGAACAAATATAGCAAATTTTAAAAGATCAGCTGTCTGTAAAAAGACAAAAGGTAAAATAGATCAGCTACTGATTCCAACATACTCCCACCAAGTTCATGGAAAGTTAACACTTGAAATGAAGTTCAAAATTGCGTTGGAACAAGTTTAAGTTTGATATCTTGAGGGCATATGTACAATTCTTCCTCTTCTTGTTCTATTTTGTTTCAAATCTTCTGTCATAATAGGACTTGAGTCTTCATTACGAAGTACATCTTGAGTCTTGATCGGTTCAGTTAGATACTTGGATGTAGTAGTAGTTCGTCTTAAGTGGTCTGCAATCTCTTCACTCTCTTGAGATTTTGATTTCAACTCCAGTGGAAATACTCTTTGTACTGGTCTTAACAGTTCTCCATGCTGGGTTCGAAGCCTTACTATTCTCACATTACCGTCCTTCCCTTTGATAAGTTCTGTAATTCGAGCTAAGGGCCAGTTAAGTCTTTTTACTCCATCACTACCTATCAAGACGACTTCACCTACTGATAGTTCATAGGGTATCTGGTTTTTGTTTCCATGTAACTGTAGTTGTCCTAAATATTCTGTTCTAAATCTTTTTGACAAGTCTTCTTTTAACATTCGTCTGTATTTCAGTCGTTTATTCAAGTCAGATGAGTCTGCTAAGTCTAAATCGGGGACTCCAACCTCTTCCACGTCTTGTAAAAATAAGGATGGTGTTAAGGGGGTCAAGTCTGTTGGATCGTCCGAAACATAAGTAAGGGGTCGAGAGTTCATGATCGCTTCACAGTCACACAGAATAGTTTGCATTTCTTCTTGGTTGACATATGAGTTTTTTAGTACTTTACGAAGTAGTGTCTTCAATATTCCAATTAACCTTTCCCACCACCCACCCCACCAGGGTGCTATGGGTGGTGAAAATCTCCAATGAATTTTCTTTACTTGACTGTATCGTTCAATAGAAGTCCAATCCAACCTTTTGATAACATTATTAGCTCCAATAAAGTTCGTACCATTATCACTATAGATTATACTCGGACGTCCTCGTCTACTGATAAATCGTCTGAGGCCCATAAGAAAATTGTCTGTTGATAAGGCTGTTAGAAGTTCTAGGTGAACAGCTCTGTACACGCTACACGTAAAGATGCATACCCATGCTTTGCAAGTCTTTTTCTCAATCTTCAAGAATAATGGACCCCCAAGGTCAACTCCAGTTATTTCAAAAACCTTAGCATTTCTTACACGATCTAGAGGCAATGGTGTGGGTACAGACTGTACTTTCTTTGATGAGTGTCGTTTGCAAGTAATACAAGTTTTCAAAACATTTTTAACACTTCTTCTCCCTCCTAATATCCAAAATCGTTGTCTCAGAAGGACAATTGTCTTTGTGCATATCCATTATTAGTTTGAAAATGATAGGATGTTTTGAACTTGGTAAAACTAAGGGGTAACAGAAGTCATGTGTATCTGCTCTGTTGCTAACTTTAGTTTTCACTCTGATGAAACCTTCTTTATCTTCAACAGGAAACAACGTTTTGAGTTTTGGATCTGTGGTACCTAAAAATGATTCATTTTGTACAAGTGATAACAATTTATTCTCTGCAAATGTGTACTCTTCATTAGTTAAGTCACAATTGAGTTTCTTATTCTTTGTCAAAGTATTGTTTTTAAATCTATAGATCCATCCTATAACTCTAACCTTTTTCTTATATGTAGAACATCCTCTGTAAAAACTGTCATTGGTTGAAACACTGTTAAAGGTAGAGACAACAGTATTTTTCCTTTCGCTATTGATGTCTTGCTCATCATATTGAATAATATCCAGTTGGGGCCAGTTTTCTGGAGGTAATCTTAGCCAGCTGGGGCCCTCCCACCAACGGCACTCCAATAGTTTCGAAGCAGAACATCCTCGAGAGGGGTAGATCCGCTGGGTTTTCATTACCTGGGACATATTTCCATTCCTGTTGTGAAGACAGATCTTTTATTTCCAATACTCTATTTTTTTAAAATGCATTCCAGGAGTCGTCTCTTTTTATCCATGCTAGTACGGTTGTAGAATCAGTCCAAAAAAAAGTTCTTGTGTCAAATAATCCATAACCATCTACAATCGTTGAATACAAACGAGCAGATATCGATGCTGCAAGTAACTCCAATCTAGGGATTGTCATTTTCTTAGATGATTTGCTGACTGGTGCTACTTTAGACTTTGCTGCGACTAGTTGAACATTTATAGAATCTTCTAACGACACTCTCAAGAATACAACTGAAGCATAGGAAGTCTGGCATGCATCTGAAAAGATGTGTAGTGTCCAATTATTCATTACATTTGTACCAGGTAACCATCTTGGTATTCTTATGTCGCTCAAACAGTGAATGTCTCTCAACCATTTTAAAAATTCTTCCTTTGTTTTACTGTCAACTTCTTGATCCCAACCTAATTTATTTTTCCAGGTACGCTGAAGTAGCAGTTTGGGTATCAAGGTTACGCAACATGTGAAACCAATGGGATCGAAGATGTGATGTGCTACACTCAGAATTACTCTCTTAGTTATCTTTTCCCTATCAATATCCTGAAAACTAGGCAAATTAACTTCTAATGTGTCCAAGCCTCTATTCCAAATCAGACCTAGGACGTTAGACTTTGTAGAGGATAAACCAAAATTAGTTGTATCAGTCAACTCCCACCCACGAAGCTCAAATTTTCTTTCATTCATGATACTCGTTGACATTTCAATGAATTGTTGTGCCCTTTCTGTGGTTTCCAAGCTACATACACAGTTGTCAACATAAAAACTAAACAACAAAGTTTCAACTAGATCAATTGGCCAATTTAATTCACCTTTGTTACATTTGGATAATACTTCTTCTAAATGAAGTTTTATGGAAGCTTCTAATAAAAAGGGGCTTGAAGCAACACCAAACACTACTAGTTGGTGTCTGAAAACCTGTAATATACCTTCCTTTGTCAACCATAAAAATCTTAAGAAATCCCTATCTCTGGGATTTAAGACAATCTGTAAAAATGCTTTACGTATGTCACCTATTATGCCAACAGCTTTAAGACGAAAACGAGCGATTACTGAAGGGATCTTCGCCAGGAGATTCGGTCCTTTTTCTACACACTGATTAAGAGAGGTGTTGTTGTATTCCTTTGCACTAGCATTGAAGACTGGACGGATAGGAGTTGTACTATTTGGTTTCAAAACAGGGTGATGTGGCAAATAGTGAGCAGGTTGAGCTATTTCAGCTACAGGAACTTCCTCTATTATATCTTCCTTTAACCATTCATCAAACACTCCTTGATATGCATCAACCAAGTCTTCTTTCTCCGTAGTTTTTTCACCGTTGACATCAACCTTTTCTTCGCTAACTGGTAATTATCTTGCAACGGAGGATGATCTTCAGTCCAGGGGAGGCAAACTTCAAATCTTCCTTCATCTGTAATCTTTACTGTTTCTAAAAAGTGTCTTTGAGTTTCCATTTCTAATTCTTGTTTTGAACTTTTCTCATACGGATCCAAAATTCCAAGGGAGTCAAGAGCCCACAAGTTGCTAATTTTTGCTTCTGTTGTCAACATTGAAGTTACAAGTAATGCTGCATTTTCATCTGGCTTTTGTTCGGTTGGGATTTTACCCATCAATGTCCATCCTAATTTTGTGTTTACAGCAACCAAACCACAATCTAAATCCTTAAGTTGGCCTGTCCATAGTTTGCCTACGACATCAGCTCATATCAACACCTCTATAGGTCCGTAAGAATCAAGATCGTTCAAGTTAACATTTTGAGTAGCTAGTTCTTCAATCCAGGGTCCTCTTGTAACAGGGGAAATGTTACCACATATCTGTTTGTGGTCAAAAACTTCAAAATGACACCTGTAACTGTCATCTAAGGAAGAAAGTTTAAGTTCGTACACGTTATGACAGATGACATTCGTAATGCTTCCACCAAAAAGACTATGTTGAACATTTTCTTGACAAATGGGAGTATACCCTACTTTGGTAACTGTACTGGACAAAATATATGATCTTTGGGAACCACAATCTATGTATTTTTTAGCTCTTACGCTAAATACACCTTTAGGACCTCTTACATTTACTTTTAAGGTTTGCATAAGAACATCGCATGTGTTAGTGTTGGCAGGTGCTTCATCTGATTTAGTGGCTTTGGTTTGACTATCCGAATTTTCTCTACCTAAATTCTTCTTTGTAGGTTTATTTTGACTTTGACCTACCGCGTCACACATTATAACAAAATGAGATTTATTGCAAATTATACACTTAGGTCTGTTCTTACATTTACTGGCAATGTGACCTGGCTTCAAACAACAAAAACATGCCTTTTTATTGTGTACAATATTTTTCCTATCTGATAGTAGCATAGATTGAGCTTTAATACAGTCTTGGGATTTGTGTGACAATGAACAAAATACACAGCCTGAACCTACCGGTTTCTCATTCTTCATTGACGTATATAAACTTGAAGCTGTGGATAATTCGCTTGAATGACTTGATCTATTTACATGAGAAGAGGCAGAAATCTTAGTGGACCTACTTTTGTCTTTAGAATCATTTTTTGTCAACCCAAACCCAGATATTGCTAGTTTAACCTTTTGTTCTCCCTCTATTTCCTCCTTAAGGAAATTAAGTAAATCTTCTAATAAGTCCTTAGACGTGTTATTACTAACTGTAGATCTACTGTAGCTTGATCTTTCCCAAAGTTTGAGAACATCCTCAGGTAAACATGAAGAAACCAAAGGCAAAAGAATGGGGGCACATGTGTCCGATTACACTCCTAAAGTTTCTAAGTTTCTTAGATGGCTTTGTAACTTATCGTACAACTCTGATATAGAAAGCTTTTTGGCAGATGAAGCATGAACAATTATTATTTTTAACAATTCCCTAATATAATACTCTGTAAGTAAATCTTCTCGGCCAAAACGGCTTTTCAATGCTTTGACAACTTCCTGGTACTATTGCAGTGGCTGGATAGCTTTCGACAACTTCCCTAGCAACTGAATTAGGAACAGTAGCCATTATCAAATATTGTATTTTGTCATTAGGGTCAATTGAATTGTTATTGTGAATTTTTGAAAATTGAGACCAAAAAGGTAACCATTCTTTTAATTCCCCATTAAACTCTTTTAGTTTTAGTACTGGAAGTTTGTAGGAACAATTATTAGCTAGATTTACCTGCTCAGACTTCTGTGATGCTCCACTTACCGACCTTACATCACTTTCCAAAAGTGGTTCAACTGTTTCCTTTACAATTTGGTATAATATGGAGTATTCTTCTAGTTCATCCTTCTCCTTATCCATTTCGTTATCATCAGTTCCATCAATATCCAACAAATGTTGATAAATAACTGCATCTTGTTCAACTAGTGTAGAGTAATGTGTGTCAAGCCTTTTTAGTAAAGCTTTAATTCTTATGAAGTCAGTATTTTCATCCCTTAAAAGTCCTTCAATTTCATTTTTAGTTTTAGTTAATGTTCTTCTTGTGATTCCTCTTGATTTCTTTACTTTGGTAATATTCATCTTGACTCAATAATGTACTCTCTGAAAGACTATTGAAATAAACTCCATTGCAATATTATATCAGTCTTTAAATAAGTAAAAGTCCTGTCACGGTCGCCAAATGTAGGAAATAAACTTGGATGCTATTAAAATCGTGTTTTCCCTACTATTACTATAAACTACAAGAAATAAATATTTTACTGATACAATACTGCAATTCTTTTAATAATCTGAATAAAAACAGTTTACAAAATTCTCGCAATGTACCAAAGCAACTGATCCAGAACAAATATAGCAAATTTTAAAAGATCAGCTGTCTGTAAAAAGACAAAAGGTAAAATAGATCAGCTACTGATTCCAACAAACATCGTCATGCCCCCGACAGTCCCGTGCTGGCAACACCTGGAGTTTGTAACCATTGCTAATGCTGAAATTATATTTTAACACATTTACATACAAAAGAAACTGGTAATTTATATAAAACACCAAAGATCAATTTAACTGACAGGGTATTCGCCAAAAATATACTATACTGAGTGTTATTTTGTACCAAAATGCTTTCTTTCAGTTGCAAATTAAAATTATTAAACAAATGAAGTTGCTACTTTTCATTCTTAACCCCAATTTAATTGCTCAATTTCGAGCAACGGGTCTACTAGTGTATAATAGATGTCATTTGTAGAGTACTGCTCTATCAGAGAATGTTATATGACAGCATGATTACAGATATGCAGCAGTATGTCAAGATGATTGGGGCGTGTCGGAGAAGCCATAAGTCTGACGTGTGTGTGTGTGTGTGTGTGTGTGTGTGTGTGTGTGTGTGTGTACGTGTAAGTGTGTGGGCTGTGATCCAGAAACTGGCCAATCAGGTCCGGTTACGATACGACACTGTTTAATACACAGTTAAGCAACCCTAAGGTCAACCTGACGCATGACGTACCAGCATAGGATAAGGTTGGATCACTTATCCTTACAAGGGACACTATTCTTCGTACGATCACCTGCAATAATTTATCATTTATAGAGGTGAAGAATACGCACTGCTCGAATGACTATATCATGCTATGTATTTGTAGTATATGCCAGATTTTTTTCTTGCCGCATGTATTTATTTGATACTGTAAATTTCTATACGATATCCTAGTTTTATAGAAAGTACACAGAAATACTAATGAATTCAATGTGTTTTGAGACACACCTGAATTTCTTAAATATGTAAAATAAAAATCTTTTTACATTAAAACAACGTTGACACCCAAAACTACTTTACGAATTTGTATTTGCCCAATCATAGGCCCATTTGATCCTATTGTTCATAGACATCCTTATTGTCAAATTTAAATATAAATTTACTAGGTGAAACCCGTCGAAATCGACGGTTATTTTCAGGGCTTAATATTAATAAATCATCTAACCGCGATAAATTGAGTGAAATTGTACATATTTTGAGTATTTAGCATTGTTTAATAGAGCAAGAGCCCATGACTGCCAGACCTTCGTTATTTTAAAAGCTGAGAGTTTCTCAGCAAATGCTCCCAATTCAGTTAAGAATGATCGGCGACTATGAAATTTGGATCTTGGTTACTTTGGCAACAAAAAGGTAACAAAGGTCTGAAATTTACAAATAATGTTCGTTATAGTATAAAGCTTGGTTCTTTCATATTTTCTTCAGAGGAATGTCAGAAATCATTTCCTCCATTGCCAAACACTTTGTGTGGTTTAAACCCTCTGCCAGAAACCCTTAAAACGTAGGTATGACGAAGATTAATTTTCGTCATTTTATAAAAGCTGAAATTGATATATGTTACTTGGGGAGCAATCAAAAGACGTTTTCTCAAATTATGTTTTATGGTTTTATGGTTAATTATGTTTTTTTGACAAATTGTCTATACATGGATTTAGGACATAATTTTTTTACAAAAAAACACGGTCGCTTAAATTATTTTTTTAACACGCCAATTGGGTTATGATTGTTATAATATGTGTTTTATGTAGAAAAAAAGATGCTGATTCATAAAATATTTTTATTTTTTGTATTTCTTATAAAAAAAATATAATAAACATTTTCCGAGTTTTGTTCATCTTCACCCCGCTGTTCATCTTCACCCCGGTTTACGGTAACATTGAAAATGCTTCTTTTGGACAGTTCAGTAACTCCCAATTAATGTGTCTTGTTTAAAATACAATTTACAAATTAACAGCTGTTTCATTAAAAAGTATTATCCACATGGCCAAAATGTAAACAAATCTGTAGTGGGATCTTTAAAGGCTTCTGGGGCAGAGCCCTAAGGGAATTTACTTCGTTTTTCTTTTGATAACTCATCTACAGATCAAGACCTTTCTTTTGACACCCCTACCAAGTTTCTACGCCCAGCCGTTCTCTCAAATTAGTGGGGACAAAGTTTCCAAAGGGCAATTCTTTTGACACTTTATTCATCAAAATCGGTCCAAAAATGAGGGAGGAGCTCTGTTCACAAAAATCGGCTTAGTGTATTATATATATAGATGTTCTGAAAATTTAAATAAAATTACTCGAAGCGGATAATAATAGCGTCATTATTTATTTGCTATATCTTGCTTTTAATACATTTATGTAGTAGTCCTAAATCAATTCAACACATAATTATCAGCCAGTGTATGTGTTTTATATTTATATTTAATATCAATTTCTATATATTTTTATTTATGTTTCCCCGTTTGTCGGAATAAACATTGAAAACGTCATTTATAAAAATAGCTAAATGAATCTCATTTTCCAAATCGTCTTGACGTGTTCTGTTGTGCTTAACATATCTTATTCAATTGAAATTATATTATATAAAGGTATACACAAATCACTAACAATAATTATCATGAAAATAAAAATTATTGTAATACGAAATATTTCTATATTTTAACATGAATGGGGAATGATTAGACCAATGTATGGGACGATAATTTATTCACTTAAATTTACACAATAAATAGGTATCAATAAATAAATAAGATCCACATATATACAGATGATAAGAGGATGGAAGATAAAGGAACAGGCAATAGTCAATTTAAAGTTCGGTAACAGTCAGAAGTATATACAGTGGGAGAAAAGAGGAAAATAACACTAGGAACGGGAATTTTGATAGAGCGCTGAAACAATGGAAGGAGATCGTGGTTTAAAAGGTCCTTAGTAAGCGTACTGGATGCCATAGGAGTTGGTGTAGGTCATGTGAGCGACGGCGGGGGCGGCGGAGTAGGCAACACCGAGGAGACCGTGAGCGACGGGAGCGGCAACGGGGGCGGCGTAAGCGGGAGCTACAGCCTTAACGACGGGGGCTGCGTAGGCAGCGGGGGCAGCGTAAGCCACGGGCTTTGCGGCGTAGGCAAGAGGGGCGTGGTAGGCGGGGGCGGCGTAGGTTGCGTAACCGGGGTTGCTCACACGGACGTCAGACTTGCTCACGCTAGAGTAGGGAGTGTCGATGGTCTTGGTGTAGGTGGAGACCTGTCCCAGGTTGCCGGGGGTCCTCAGGATGTTGGCTGAGGTGGAGGTGACGGCAGCAGGGGCGTAGGCGTGGGCGGCGTACGCAGCAGGAGCGTATGCGGGGGCAGCGTACGAAACGGGTGCGTAGGCGGGGGCGGCGAGGTAGCCTGCGTTGGCAACAGCCAAAGCGGCGGCGAGAACGATCAGCTGTAAATCAAAATAGGTTAACTAAACCTTTTCATATATTTTTAAGCATTAATATCTCCAGTTAGATATTTATATTTATATAATCAATAATTAATATAATATCAATAATTAAATACTTTCATAGAAAAATTTGTACAATTACGTTTTTTATTCCAACCTATGACAACGGTAACCTACTTCTAATGAATCATGAAGCTAAATCCCATACATGGCTTACCACTACATGATGGGTTGATGATATCTTGTATGTGAGCCGGTAATAAATAATATACGACAAGTATTAGGCGTTGTTCCATTTTAAAATATATTGTCCGTATTGTTTAACTTTAGGGAATCATTATTATTGTTATTATTCCATTACGGTAAACATTATTAAAAAAAAACTCCAGCAATATGTTCCTCGCCATAAAAACAGTTTTTAGATTATAATTTTATTTGTCTGTGTGATTTTTTTTTATTTATCAATTTTTTTGGTTACACTAGAAAGAAGAACACATTTTTGTTAATTTATCTTAAAAAATATCAACTCACAGCCTGCAGACAATGCAATACCTGGTAAACACAGACTAGTGCAAGAGACTTTAACGGTTGGTTTGCTAGAAGTGACAATAAACAGTGTTACTCTGGTTTGGGACTAAAACATAGTGGTTTTGAACTATTATAGGTTTTATAAGAAACTTATATTTCCCTGCCAAACAAAAGCGATAACATGTCAATAATGATTATGCAATTAGTTTCTGTAGTTCGATATTAAAGCAAATTTAGCTGATACTTGCTCAATGTGGTTCAATAGATTTGGACGGCATTAAAATTTTGAAAATCGTGGTTTTAGTGAGATGAAGTTTTTTTATGGTCACAATCAGAATGAATAATAGTATATTTCATCACTGGGGCCTAAATTGACTCTTTTCTTCGACCCAAGCTCAAGTATCACATATAATAATCGAAGGATGAAAAGACACTTTTTGCCCGTATGATGAAATATATTTTTTGTCATATTGCACCATTATTTGAAGAAACTATGTTACAAAACTAAAATAGTTTTCATTTCAAGATAACCTCTCAAAACCACATCTAAGTTGTTTTCAATTGAATTTGCTAAATTAACATAAGAAGCTGTTGAGTAAGTAAATCAATCGTTTCGTCTATTACGATTGTGTTAATGTACATCATACTATCGATATATCAAACTATTTACAATAAGGCAACGATTAACCACAATCGATTCAATAATCGATTCATATTTTTGATACATGCAATTTTGTTTCAAATAAGAAATTTTCAACTTTGTTGACAACAGTTTATTTGTATTCCCTGGGGGCTAAAAACCTGTTTTAAATCCCTAGAGAGTAAAAATGCTACTTTAAAACCGCAACGCATGCATTAGAAACGGCCGTTTTGCTGCAGTGTGACGAAAAAGACTATTTACGTTTTGGTATTGATTTGGGAATCGAAAGTACTGTATCCAGATGACATTAAAAATTAAAACCATGAACCACCAACTATTTATATACAATCTCATCGTAGTAGTACGAATTAGTCTAGCATTGGCCACTGCTAGGGTTAAAAAATAAACAAAAACATTATATCTACTACAATAAAGTAGCCTCCCTACATATTAAAGATATCGTCAAATGGTAATATAACACTACCAACCAATAAAAGATGTTTTCATCAAGCCAAACGTTCTAGCCAACCTGATCGATAAGTAAGTATGGCTGATTGATATTTCGTCTAAAAAAGGGTTCCAAATATTATTTTAATTTTATCTTTGTGTCGTATTGACATAACGGATCATATTTTGAGCATTTTTAACAACCAAACTTAACATCAACCTAAGTCATAAACATTAACGATTGCTATATACATACAGTATTCTATTCATAGTATGAGTATACAGTTCGCAATTGTATTATTTATGATCATTGCATAAAATGCAATGGCACCAATATACAAATAAAGACTACCTTTTTTGTAAAGTAAAAACCGCTTAAATTAATAGAATTCAATTTATTAGATAATTTAAATAAGCTTACATAAATTCAAATAAGTTTGAAGATAAATTAATGAAAGGGCTATTCAAGCAATGAATTTATGTTCAATGAGTATCTTTGTAAGGCATTTTATTTAAATACAGTTAAGAAACACGAAAGACACTATCTTAAGGCAAAGTAAATATAGTTTAAATTTATTGTGTATCTCTTTGAAATGGGAATATGCTATTTTTCTCTTAGGATGATGGTTTAAATTTTGTTTGCATTATACTTAGTTACTAATATTGTATTAGGTCCGGTACTTTGTAACACTATACTGGTACTTTAAACAACAAGTCGTCTTAACTAATTAAAGCTTTTGGCTTTTGGTTTATTTGAGTTAACATTTTGGAAATGTTTCTGTTTTTAGAAAATTAAATCTTTAAGAGTAAAATTGTGTTAGTCACCAATTGATAAAATATTAAGTTTAACTACATGACGAACAAAAATAGCTTTTATGATTTTGGTAACTGGCTCCGTACAAAACAATGCAGGTTGAAAATCAAAACCTGGAATGACATTTGTTGAGATAGATGGTTAGTTTAAACACTTATAAACTTAAGATGGGGTTGATTATGGATACTTTATATACATGATTTATGCTATTTGAGTTTATAGTTTTGATTATTTCAATAAAATACGTTAATTTATATAGTTACACTTTTAAACAATATCGTTTTTATATTAAATATCAATTTAACACATTTTTTACATAGAAAAGAATGTTTACAGGTTGTTCCAGAGAATAATTTTTTGGCCTAAACCTATTTTAAAACTTGTCATCCTCCTAGCTGTGACTATGACCCTCTACACTAGATTCTCGCACTAGTACACCGTACCATTATTGTTTGCAATGTCAGTGTGGACGCCCTCTTACCTTGAAAGCCATTGTGTTGGAGTTGAGCGGTGTTGTGTTGGTACAACTGACTGTGCCATTACCAGGTGAACCACGCTTATATACAGGGGCTGACACAAGGTTTGGGGAGGGGGGGGGTAGCCCTTGACAATTGGCCACCACCCTGTATTATTGACACAATGCTACATGTAATTAAAAATTATATTGTTCAATATGAACTTTGACTTCAGAAATCAGTTTTATAGCTATATAGTCCAGTCAATGAATGATCCAAAAGTAGGTGTAGAGTGCGTGAGCAGGTAACTAAGCGATTCCTTCAGAAACTTGTTCAGGGGGCTTAGGGTGTTAACATACCAAAAGTCCTGACTCCTAGGTGGTGAGCCAGGGGGTGGAGGGGGGAAAAAGGGGGGGGAGAAAGGTACGCATTTTGGGTTTTTTGATTATATCTCGAAAACTAACAACTTTTTGAATACTATAGTAAATTATAAAATTGAAGAAGATTAAATTTTCTACAAGAAAAGTATATAATGTGTTTATTTTGGTTCAACAGATTACGAGTTATAACTTATTTAATTGATATCTTATTAAAATACTCCTTCCATAAGAAATACATGTAAATTAGTATGCAAAATGGGGCGAATCCTATCCGCCCAAAGGAAATATAACTGATATTCTGGAAATCTTGACAAAATTTCCAGTCATTTGACACTTTAATCATGAAATTTTGTCAAAAATTAAAGCGAGGGTGAGCGTTTAAAAATGGGATGATTTAAGGTTTTTTTATATTTCCAATAAAAAAACACCAAAACTCGACATTTTGTTACCTCGCCCTCGCCTTAATTTTGGATCGATTTTAATGATTAAAGTGTCAAATGACTGGAAATTTTGTCAAGATTTCCAGAATATCAGTTATATTTCCTTTGGGCGGATAGGATTCGCCCCATTTCGCATACTAATTTACATGTATTTCTTATGGAAGAAGATTTTAATAAGATATCAATTAAATAAGTTATAACTCGTAATCTGTTGAACCAAAATAAACACATTATATACTTTTCTTGTAGAAAATTTAATCTTCTTCAATTTTATAATTTACTATAGTATACAAAAAGTTGGTAGTTTTTGAGATATAATCAAAAAACCCAAAATGCGTACCTTTCTCCCCCCCTTTTTCCCCCCTCCACCCCCTGGCTCACCACCTAGGAGTCAGGACTTTTGGTATGTTAACACCCTAAGCCCCCTGAACAAGTCTCTGAAGGAATCGCTTAGTTACCTGCTCACGCACTCTACACCTCATTCCTTGACTGGACTAATAGGAATAAATATGCTATATTTCAATAATTTATATGTATTTTTATCAGATAAAGAGAGATCTGGGATATCAAGGATATTACTTGTTCGAAAAGTAATATACATCTTAATAGTGTGGCTTATTGATTGAGAATTCACACACAAGCATGGGAACATAAAGGGACAATCCTGCCCCATTTTCCTCCAGGTTGGTGGTTGCAATTGGTTGGGTTCTATTTTATTTAAAGTTCTTACAAGTTTGGTTTGAAGCTACAAGCTACAAACATGGCTTTTATCAATAACCATGAAATGTTTATTGTGGAAGGATAGTATCAGACAAATCAACGTGGGCGTTTCTGTTAAGATGCACTGAAACAAAAAATGTCATGTACCACTTTCATGTTAAAATGTTTAAATTAGCTGTTTCTAGAGGAATTAAAACATTATTCTCGCAAATTTAGCATTTAAGGACTATTTGCAAGACTGTGCTACTCCAGTGGCTGAAATTACTTGCTTACTACAAAACTAAATGCATTTAGTAACTGTATTCATCCAATAAAGCTAAATTTATCGATTTAGAATCAATGTTATTTGTGTTATCTGCTCCATAGCCATGCTTCAACTTTTTTATAAAAAACTGTTTAAATTCTGGTCTATTTAAATATAGGCCTAACGTTGCCTTTTGTTGGATAGAATCATTAATTAATGCCCAATGATATTGGGAATGGCCACACTACTAGTTCTACTAGTTAGTTCTACTAATTCTAATAGTTGAAGACATGTGTCCAATAATTAAGTTAAGCTATGATTTTTTCTAAAATAAATCTGTAATCTTAATTGACCTATCTATCTATCTATCTATCTATCTATCTATATATATAAAATCCAATGTTTGTTTGTTTGTTTGTCCATTATGGACTCTGAAACCGCTCGACAGATTGTAATGAAACTTTCAGGCATTATTAAGCATTATTAAATGATAGTTTGTGTGAAGTTTGGTCCAGATCCGTCATAAGGGCTCCGCCCCAGTAGTTCTGGAGTTTCCCATGTAACCTTATGAGTACTCATAATAAAATGGAATTAAAGAATCCTAACAGCTGGTTCAACTAAACAATTTGATTCTCTGATGTGCAATAGCATTAACAAGCTAATAGGTTTACCAACAGGGTGCAGCACTATAATTTTTTTTTAATTTATGACAACAGCTAATTTGCAACCAAAAGGTGAGTGAGCGTAGCGAACGAACTTCAACCAGGACGTGATTGAGCCATGCGAACGAGCTCATCTTGAAAATGAACGTGCATTTGACATAAAACCACATTAGGACAGGACGACGTCTGTCGGGCCAGCTAGTCTATTATAAGGAAGAGGTGGGGTCTGTCTGTGTGTTTGTATGAGATAAACTAAAAAACTACTGAACCGACTGGGCTCAAATTACACACAAATGAAGCTACAGCTCCGAGGATACATATAGAACTATTCCCGCTTCGATATTGACCTAGGGCTCTGCCCCATGGGCTTAAAAAATCTGAGGTGAGAGATTTAAAAGTAAATATTGATTGATGGTATCCATGGTAACAAAATAAACCTACAAAGTTTCAAAATATAAACAAGCAGATTTAACTGTCAAATGAATTTTGATTTCACCACACAGCACACAGATGGTTCAAACATATTAAATACTGCACGAATATTAGAACAGAAACTTTATGGATGATAAACATTAATAAATTATGTTACTCGCCCGAATGTAAATATTATTTAACATTACTTCATACCATATGTTAGTGTCATTAGTATAGGATTCATTCACTTACGTCATTTGTTTATGTTTATGACCTACTGAGTCTGTTCTAATATTTGTTAAAAGTTGTAATAATATTTTACAGGAAATAATTCATTGTAAAAGATATTATTCATGGATATAGGACGTAATTGAGATTCTATAATTATTGCCGTATCAACCTAAACTCTTATCTTTAGTTTTATGAGAATTATTTTTTATATATATTATGTGTAAACAGTAATACAGTATAATACCCCTGCCGCAGCAAACCTACAGACTAAGCGAGTTTTCATTTGCCTGATTATAATTTCACTAAAATATGTTAGAAAATTACACTATTGACAGTTTTGGAACTATTGTGATAGTTTTTCGTTTACAGTACAAACCATTAAACATGTTATTTTATTATACTTAAAATCTATCATTGGTTTTGTATCCTGGTAGCCTAAAACTTATTTAGGCTACCAGGATACAAAACCAATGATAGATCATTGCACAATATGTTGTTATGTTGTTTGATCACAGTTTGAGTTAACAAAAACTTACCATTACGATTTTAAAGTTAAGTAATACAGTTCAATTTTGTTTCTGAACTAAATGTTAGAGGTGAAACCATTTTTAAGGAATTTTCAAAGAGCTAACATTGTCTCTTTTGCATACTGACCCCATTGCATGGCACGGGTATACCTGCTAGTATTTCTATTTTTATTTTATTTTATTTTATTTTGCATGCAACAAAACAGAATACAAATCCCATTTACATTGCAGCACTATCCTGGTTTGTACACAGTTGAGAACATGCTGTGAGTTCATGAAATTGAATACAGCCTAAAGTGAATCATCCATAGACTACGAATAGTAATAGATACGAATAGTATAACATATTTAACATCATAACCACTTAAGTCAGCTGTGTTACTGAAAAATAAACAGGAATGCCAATTTTTACTGGTAATTATTACTAGAAATATTTTTACTAGTATTCTCTATCTCTTAAGACAAGTTTTAACAACACATTCCTTAAAAAAATCACTTAAATAGAGGTTCAGAGACGAAATATTTTATAGGCGTAGCAATTTTATGAGAAGATGATGGTTTTAATTTTGAGTTAATAACTGGTCAGATTATAATAAATTATTAGATGATCTCCTGAAACAGTTCTTGTATATATTTTTTTATTTTTGCTAATTTAATATACGTCTCGCCCACTTCCATATCCTAGAACGTCAAACATAAACACTTTGAAACTCAACTGTATAAACTGTCTGACACCAACCACCAAAAACCATCATCACTGTACACCTTTGAACCAATTTCATGGTTAAAGAATGCAAAGGTTGTACGAGATCTGGAAATTAACTTTAATTGATATGCTTTGAAATGTCCTGTCTTAGTAAAGAAACCGCCTGGTGCTGCCGATCCAGCAGCAATTTAAAATTATTATCTACCTAAAATATACCACGATATACCGTACCCATGTTGCTTGGATGGGTATATGCTTTAATAAAACGCACCACATTTTGTCATAAACTATCAAATATGGTTATGACCAACTGGCATTTATAACTAAAGCAATATGTTTATGCTTGATAGACAACTTTTTCAAACTCAAAGGATAATTAATTATGTGACAGTAACGATAAAAGAATGTTTCCTAAATCTTCGTCCATGTGCATTTTAAAAGACGTCATTAAGTGAATGTCTGGAACAACCTTAGGCAATATATTAATTATCGAAGTATAAACTACTTTCTGAACCACTATAATTATTGTTACGGGCTTAACAGGTTCTTTACAATAAAAACTTGGCGATTTTATTATAACTATTTATTTACACTAATTATTCTCTATTTACAATATTTGCAATTACCTAACCCCTAACTAACCCTATCTAAACCTAGCTAATGCCTATTCTAATTTACAATGTTTCTACTTACAGCTAGCCTCTACAGGATTTATCACTACTTCTGTTACAGCACTGTCACAACACTGTCACT